TCATCTAGCTCTCTCCTTCTCCCACTATCATCCACGGCCTACAATGCTTTATTATGCATTTTTGTTTAGCAAGACAAGTTCAAGTTTGAAAATGTGTCTCTTTAAATTAGAGTAAGCTGAATCTAATAGGAAATAAACTGCACCGACCAACAGACAAAATCCGTCAACATCTTTATTTACTCATCTAATACTAATATTGTTCTTTAACAACAGAAGAAATAATAATAATTATAATAATAATACATTTTATTTGTATTGTAGTTTGTACTTCAACAATCTCAAAGAGTTACAGAATAACAGCAGAAATAATAGTCGATGAATAATTAAAATAAATAAAAGGAGAGCCGATTAAATCCTTTTAGCGCAAGACTTTTTCAAAAAGCTCAGCGTTAAGGTTCAATTTAAAAGCATCTATAGTTCATGGGGCCCTCAGGTGGTGAGGGAGGGTGTTCCACAGCCTCGGAACAGTGGCTAAAAAGGCCCGGTAGCCCATGCTGTAAGAAAGGAGGATGTGTGTTTTTGGGAAGGTGAGGAGGTCTTTTTGGTGTCCACTGATAGTGGAGGATAGAAACCTGGTGTATAATTCTGTGAAGAAATGATTGTCTTTGAACTTTATCCACAAGATCGTCTTTATTTACTTCTCTTAACTAAACTCCCACAATGTTTAAAAAAAACACTGCATGAAATTAGCATTTAGTAGGTAAAAGTGATGTTAATATTACTCATAGACTTTATTTGCTTTTCAACAATAGGTAGATGAGACATTACCAGGATAAAAGTTTAATATTTTAAACATATGACATCATGATCTGTTACTCAGACCAACGCAGTAAACAGATTATGAAACAACAGTCACCTCTGAAGAACATCAGCTCCCACCTCATCTACTGTAAATCCACTAAGCTTCATTAGCGTGAAGCTTCATGTTTACTTTACTGTACCTTAGAGACACCGATGGGGGTATCAGATCTATTCACCCCTCTGCAGGTATGCACTCATGGTAAGTTTTAGGTGTGGAAAAGGGCCACAGGTCTATGGGTACCAGCATCGGCTCAATTTAATTCAGTTCAAATTTCATTTATTAATCCACAATACAAAATTAATTTATTTTAAAGATTTGTTGTGTCTGGTTCTAGCAGGGAGCAGGAAGGATCTTCTGGAGCAGTTTGAGCTGCAGCAGATCTGAAGACGCCTGAAGACCTTTTGTTTTTGACTGTTTTTTGAAGAGGAGAATTCAGGTTCTCCGGTATGTGCTTCATTTTATGACGCATCCTTCTTTGGTCAACCAACTCTAGAGGCTCTAGATCTGTCCCAGAACAGAAACAAGCCTCCTTTATCAGCTTGTTCAGCTTTCTACACCCTCTGGCTTTGATCCCTGCAGATGAGCATTCACCACAACCAACTTATAGAGGAAAGAGAACACCTTGAGTCGCCCATCAGCATTTACTTGTAGATCTTTTGTGAACATCTACAATAAAACTCCAGCTGCATGACATACAGCTGCAGAGGCTTTGCCATATCTGTAGAACATTTGGAACATGTGTTGTGGTTAAAGAGAAGACTAATGGAAAAGTAAATTATGGGTCCTGACTCTGAGTTTGTTACAGAAGACATCCAGGATGAGGAGCAGGTCCTTGTGTGAAGGCTTGTTGTCACATTTGGTGTTTAGTGGTTGGAAAATGTTGTTTCTTGTTTCCATGTGAGCCTTTGAGGAGGCTTCTTAAACCACATTCACCAGGGTTTAGGGGACACGTCTCCCAGACATCTGGCTGCCTGGTTCTCGGTTGACTCAAGAGAATCAGCATGACCACCTAGAACAGGGGTGTCAAACTCAAACTCACACGGGGCCGAAATGAAACTCTGGGACGGAGTCGAGGGCCAAACTTAATATTTTTGAAAAAGTGACGGCAAATTTGCACATTTTCTTTATCAACATATATGCAATTTTGAACCTTTAAATTTGGAAACAAACATATTTCTGCATTAACACTGAATGTGGAATAACCAAATTACACACGAGCAAGTCAGTTTTAAATAAAAGGCATCATTGGTATTCATTACTTGTGGTATAATCAGCATTTTTTAAATCTATTCAGGATTTATGTTTTCTTGTTTATTCATTTTTCTTATTTTTATTCTCCTTTTTTCTCCTGTAATAAGTGTCATCGCTGCTGTGACATCTAGCTTTCCCCACTGAGGAACAATAAAGGGATTTTCTATTCTATTCATCTATCTGCAGCCTTTCCACTTCCTGTTTACTGTAGGTTAAATATTTTCTCACGGGCCAACAACAAAATAAAAATATAATTTAATCTTAAATGAAAATGCAACATCTCACCTGTTAACTTTCATGTTTTGGAGCAGAAAAAGAGCATAAAACCAACATATTTAAAGCTCAGTTTGCTCCACTGGTTTACTGTGATGCTCACCTGTTCCAGCCAGATACCTGCATCATGGGGTTGATCTGAGCTGAGGAGGAGACTCCTGTTGTTTTGTTCTTCTTCATCATAATAATGACAACATTAGATGACAACAGGTGCTCACATAGGTTAGTGCTGATGAACATGTCTGAGCAGCTTGACCACGTTGTTGTGTGTCGGGGAGGGAACTCGACAGCAGCCACAGAGCCGTGCTGGTTTGAGCGTGTCGCTGCTCGCTGGAGTTATATCAGCTCTATCTGGACGTTAGTTGAAAAACTTTCTCTTTCAGTCGTGAACACGTTACTGAGCGGCTAGAATCTCCGTTTCTGGGCTTCAACGTCAGAAAATAGCTGAGTGAACTCGGCGCTGAGTGAGAGGAGTGTAGTTTGTCCGAGACAGCGGAGCTGCAGAGACCGGCAGCAGGCGCTGAAAAAACACAAAGGAGGGGGCTTCGTCGACTCCGCGCTGACGCCGCAAAGCATCATGGGAGTTGAAGTATTTGCGGTAAAATCGGCCAGCGGGCCAGTTTTAATATATTTTTGATATTTATCTCGCGGGCCACATAAAAATGCTCCGCGGGCCGCATCTGGCCCACGGGCCTTGACTCTGACATATGTGACCTAGAGTCTGGCTTGGGTTTGCTTCCCTCAGATACTTTCTACCTGGATACCTTAAAGGTGTGTGTGTGTGTGTGTGTGTGTGTGTGTGTGTGTGTGTGTGCGTGTGCGTGTGCGTGTGCGTGTGCGTGTGCGTGTGTGTGTGTGTGTGTGTGTGTGTGTGTGTGTGTGTGTGTGTGTGTAGACATGTTGTATACAGATAATGAGGCTGGTCTTTAAACTCCAGGATTTAGCTTTTTCTAAACAAACATCGTCTCATTGCATCATGTGAGGAATGTTACTTTATCTGTTGACAGTTGTGGTCTGACCGATGTTTATGGGAATTGTTTTTCTTATTGGTAGATCTTTGCGTTGCTGCCGTGATTGGATACTTTACTATTGTTTTCTTTTTTCTGCATTGATTTACTAAACTAGTGGTGTGTCTTTAACCTATGTCACACTGGATGCGGTACGGAGGTGATCCGGTTTTCCTAGGGCTGTCAGACGGTTCATGTGCTGAACGTCTCCAGATATCTGCTCCCACAACATGTTTAAAAATATACTTGAAAAAATTAAGAGAACTATCATTCGCTGTGAACTGATATCCCTGTTAACAATACTAAAACTAAACCCAGCAAAATACCGCAACATGTGTTTTATTTTGAAATATTCTGAAATGTACCTCTCTAAAACACGTCTCATTTCTCTCTGGATCATCTGATTTCTCTTACTACATGACAATCCATCTGGAAAAAATAGACTCCCTGTGTAAACTTTCCAGCGCTCTGCATGCAGATCTGCACCACACCACAGCTGATGTGGAGGCTCTAAGTGGAATGAAGGATTTTTGATCCATGTGGAATTCGGATCACATCCGTTCCACATCGGTGTGAAACCAACTTCATGTTCCAAGAAGTCTGATGTCATTTGAAACTCAGAGATGTATTTGAGTTAGGTGCATTATTAGTAATGTACAAGGCAAAAAGTCAAGTATTACCAGCGAGTTTGCAGAAATTGTTTGTTTTTCATTCTGAGGATCGGTAAGATCAGTCAGTTTGCAAGGACTACCATAAAACAGAATTATGCGGTGTTAAATTGTGGAATTCATTACAGATTGAGTTGAAGATGTGTGTAAATATTTTTCACTTTAATAGGTTTCATTACAACAGAATACTACAAATATATGGACTTGCTGAATAAGAGACAATATAAAGATTGTAAATAGGAGAAATATACAGTACAAGTTTTGATATAGATTATTAATTGTAGGGAATTGACTGACAGACCATCAATGTGTTTTCTATGAATGAGTCAGGTATTGTGTCATAAGACTTTCTTCTTCCTGCTCCGTTTCAGTCATGATCGTGTTGTAAGATCCCTCTCTTTTCATCATTTTGTTTCACTGAGAAGTGCACAGTCATGCAAAATAAATAAAAATGAATGAATGAATGAATGAATGAATGAATGAATGAATTAAGTAATTAATTAATGAACCTTATTTAAGATTTAACATCAGAATGAACATGGCTTACTGGTTTATGTTCAAATTTAACGTTACACATAACTGATTATTTCCAATGAAACGATTCAGCTGGACATCAAAACAGTTATAAAATTACTAAATAAAGTTAATTATTATGACAAAACTCAGACAAATTACAAGAGTTGCTCCGTAGTTCTGACTTAAGCCCAAAAAGAATTTGGGAACATATTATAAAAATTTTCAAGACTGAATGGAGGATAATCAGACAACTGGTGTCAGATGTATGGAACAGTTCATCACCTATCTAGCCCAGTGCAATGTGGGATTTGTAGTTTTCCTGGCATTTATCACGTAAACCTTTTTGCCATTTATACATTATAAGACATAATGCTGCCGGCCAGGCCTTGCTAGCATAGTCTTTATCCTACAAGAAGGATAAGAAGCCACAACTGTCTGATCTCAGCTGATCATGATGATTGTTTCCCTGATTTCTGCCTTCAG